GTACTTCCGATTATATACATAAACTGTAAAACTTCCATTCACCCGGATGCAAAAATTACCATTCTTGGACACCATTCTGGTTGTTATCATTCCCTTTTCTTTCTTAGTCCTACATGAGCACTATGGACCTTAGAAATTTTGTGGGAGGTTGGTTTTTGACAAACGATAAAGCTTATGCGAGACATTCAGAATTCCTCCCCAAAAATTAAAAAAGGTGATAAGAGTGAGCAACAGGATTACTGGCAAACTGGTCTGCGGTTTCATAAGAGCTGTCACTTCCGCACCAGCGGCACGAAGGTGTGCTACAACGTAAGGACAGCTAATAAGTGTTGGGGCGAACTAGAGCTGCATACGTAGAACAGCGGTGCACCATCGCGCGTTTTTTCTTCTGCGCCTCATCAAACACCCGGTGGTTGCCACAGGTCATACTTGGAAACCAGCGGTCTTTGCATACTGTCCGGAGTGGAACGATCGGAGCACCGGAGTTCGCACGCCATTCCGTATGAGCTTTAATCTTTCAAACCATTGTGCACACTCGCTGTACAGCGACACACAATTCTGGTCAAAGTACATGGAGGGCCACGTCAGCAAGCTAGGCGAATTACAAATAGTGGAATTCCCTGGAACATTTGTAACTTGCGAAAATCCGTTTGTGCTTCCTCGTAATTGGTCATCAGTTTAATCCTGATTCGTTCAGAGTACCGCAGTTTGTACCGGTCCACATTGTTTTCCATTCCAACCTTCGTTTTCCTTCCTTACCCTTTTCAGTAATTGTAAACGAACCTTTTGTGCGGTTTGCCAATGATCTCAGGCGTTTCGACAGATTATGCTCAAACCAAATTTAGTGCACAAGTTACGGCACTACTTTCGCACTCATTTCTCCAGCATATGCGGTGGACGTACAAACGTGAAATAGCAAGAAAGCTGTGTCAAAATGTTTGCACCGTGCTCCTCCTGCTTCTGAGACTAGCTATTGTATATGTGCCGTGTACGAAATTTTGTTAGCAGTGCACTTTTCACAGTTTTTCGTACGAGTCCATCGACATATAATTTTTTGTTTTTATCGGATTTTAACATTTCTGCTTTCACCAATTTTAACAATTTTAACTTTAGATTTTAATAATTTGCTCTAACAAGCACTTGCTAAATCTTAGAACTACATTAGCTTTTTATTACAAAATAAGTAAAAAAGAAAGAAGTTTGTGACAACAGAGGCTTTTTACGTCCGCTGTTTTGGAAAAACATGTAATAAATGGGATAAAAGGAACACACTAAAACGCATAATGCAAAACATGACTGATGTATTTATTAAAACAATTTATCTTAAAGCTCACAATGCACTCTTTGGACGATGAGGAAGTATAGGTTTTTCTCTATTTTTTGCTGGGCCTGATAAATCAACAAGCCTTTATTCAAATTTGAAAAAAAAAACTCCATTACAATACAGGGTCCCTACAGTCTCACACACCAGTTGAATTCCCTACAGTTCTCACACACCAAAAAACCCATTTTTATGCGTTTTGTGCTGTGTAACAGCAGTACATATTGTCACGGGGTTGTCTGTGTGTTAGTTTGTGTGTGTGTGTGTGTCCGCAGCAACTTGTCCGCAACTTTCAACTCGGGGGCCACAAAAGCTAGGAAGCTGAAAATTTAGGGTAACTTTCCCCCACCCACGTGTGATCCTGCAAATTTAAATTCAACTTCCCCGTACTCGT